TTTTACCGAGAATTACTAAGGACAGTTTTGATATTATTAATTATAAGGCAATAATTGTGAGTGTCTGTCAATACAGTTCGGTGATAGATGAAAATACAATATTTATTACCAGTTTTGTGACCCACTTCGATGGATTAATAACTTATCTGGCTGCTGATTGAGCGAGTTGGTGGACTGCCAGTCACTTTTTCTCCGCTCCGAAAACTGGGAAAACCCTAACCCTTAATGGCCGAAAGAGCTTTCCCAGTGGCCAGAAATTTAACGCTGGCCATGGAGCTTTTCTTAGGCGAAGACGAACGATATTGATTTCCTGCGGCATTAGGCTGACTTATAGCCCTGCGGCGTCCAGGGGGTTGTAATGCGTACAACGGTGCGTATGATTGACGAAAGGCTCCAGCAGGCGGCGTCGCAATTTGGATACTCCTCGACAACACACACACAGACACTAGTAAAGCGCAAAAGAGAAAGTGGCGGAAAAAGCGATGGAATAACAAGGAACAGACGGCCAGTGAACAACAACAACAATTGACAACCATCTTGTTTGGCAAATAAACGCGAGCCATTACCACGAAACTAAAATGCTGTCTCAATAATATTGTTATTATTATTATTATTATCATTTCTATGTTCTCCGCCTCGTTGTCTTCGTCACTTTATGGGCCCCTTGTTATTTTTTTTCGCCGCTCTTTATGAGACACTCGTGTTTGACTGTCAAATATTTCAACAGCCCCCAAAAAGTGACAGCTGCTAATGGCATTATACATTTGTGCGGTGGCGGTGGCGGTGGCAGTGGCGATGGCCACGCCCACTTTCAGGTGGCGATTGTGAGGTCCATCATCTTCGGCAGGTCCCCAAGTGTTTTGTTTTGCTTAGGTCCTGTACCCAATAACAATTTGCATATTATGGTGCTGATTTGAAAACTTTTTGAGTTTCCAGTTTCGAATCGATTGGCGGGGGCGTCAGCTGCTAATTCCTTTCGATTACGAACTGTTTTATGACGGGGTGGAGCACACGGCCATTAGGTCAGCCCATCAATCAGCCGGCCATCAATCAGAGGATCGCAAATAACCGCCCTTCCCCTCCATTTTCGGGGATCCCCCGGGAAATCGCCTTGAAGTATGCAACACTTTCTCGCGAACACAAACATACATCTTGTTATCGGCCTACATCGCGAAAACTTTAATTCGACAATAAATCAATCTCGTCCGGACAATCAATTAGGCGCAAACAATTTCTTTGTGCCATTATTGATGCGTTCATAAAAATATATTCGAGGGAAATAGCCGCAGCTTGACCTTGGCAAGAGGTGAGCTCTGGTACAGTGCGTTTCGTGGTGTTAAAACTGTTCAAAGCAGCAAAAAAAAAAGTTTTACTAAACCGAACTTTTAATCTGGAAAATGGGTGTTATTTACAAAATATCTCTAGAGTATTTCCTAAACTGAAAAAGGCATGTTGATAGGTTTTTTCATCATTAAAATTTTTTGAATATATGCGACTTATAATTTGAGGTCTTAAAATTTTTTTTCAAACGTTTTCCTTGCACTTTATTACTTTAATTTTTAAATTAATGAAAAGTTAAAGTGCCTTATTCGCTTGATTACTTTTCTAATAATATAAAAATTCTTTAATGTAAGGACTGTTTGTGCACAAAAAAATGTAACAATTTTAGTTTATTAAATATAGACAATAAGTCCTTTCTACACCATTAGTTGACTATGTAAAATAGAATTTAATAGCAATTTACTCCTTGGCTTGTGAGGGGATTATGACGTGGCCTTAAGTTGTGTTAGGCACTTTCATCGATCCAAATTTGGTAATAAAATTGTCCCCTTTTTTCGTCCATAAATTAACATTAATTTCGTGCGGCAACAACAACGAACCCGAACCCCGACCTTCGCTTTATTGCTTTGCGCTTTCGTGTGTATCGTAAAAACGCAATTATAAAAATTAATGCCATCGATGGGCAGTTGAGATACTAATTGAACTACAAGTCCGGCAATTGTTGTTGATAATCCTTTTGGGAGCGCCCTTTGATGAGCATCGTCTTAATGGATTGCCTGGTCATAGCATATCACATGATTAACTTTGAATTGATTGAACGTTATATCGTAGATAACATAATAACATTTTGAATTTCGAATTTCAAAAGAGTCCTGCCTTTTTAAAGGCGGGTGTAACGAAATTACTGCCTGATTGGCAATGGCAAATAAAAGACTAATTGCTTAAATTGAATCAAGTGCTTGAGCTCTTTTCGCCTGCAGAGCTCACACTCAATATTAATTAGTGAGCGAGTAAAGGTCAGCAGGACATGCGGCGGCAGCCACTTGCAGTAAATCCTTGCCAGGACACCACCAGGACACCAATTGCGCCTAATTGGCGAACATACGGGATTCCAGTTCTCAAAGCGCTCACACTGAAGAACTTTGCATTGAAGGTTCTGGTTCAGTGACATTAATAAACGAAAATAAAAATACACTTAAAATTCTAGAACACGATTGCAATTCCCAGTACCTTGCACTTTCGTTACAAAAAATATTAGTTTCATTTGCTTTACTTTTCTTTTTGATTTATTTAAAATTAATATCTAGCTCTATTTATGATTTATGTTCGATATAGGAGGTTTTTACAAAATCTTGATAAAGCATTTTATATTTGTTATTATTTTCTTCTTCTATTTGAGTAGTTAAGTTTAAATTAACATAGAAAAGTTAATCTGTCTATTTAATATATTCTAACCCTAATGGGACAGAAACTTTTAAGAATAGTTCCTGATATTTAGGTCGACTAAGACAATTTCCAGATAATTTACCATGTCGTTGTCTATTTTTGTCGGATTTTTAAAATAATTCTTAGCGTTACATAAATTGCACTGCAAGTCACGCTTTTCAACTCTGACCTCGAGTCCCTTTGTGGCTTTAAATGTCGCCAGACTGGCAACAAGTTAAATCAATAAATTTTGCATTTCAATGCGGCCAAAGTTGTTCACTGGCCATCGCGAAGGAAAACTTGTTGCACCGGCATCTGGAAAATGCGCCAAAGGGGCGTGGCCAGGGGGCGTGGGGAGGAGGATTCGGAAAATGTATGTAGGTTCAGTATCAAACTCCATTCACATTTCATTCATAACACAGGCGGCAGAGCAACAGAGTGAGATGCAAAGTCAGCACTCATTCATTCCCCGACTGTCACACAGATACTAACAAATGCCAGCACACACACACACACACACACTATCTCACGCATACAGTGCACTTTCATTCATTAAATGCCATTCGGTGGGCGGCAGTACCAAGGAGGGGGCGTGGCCCAAGGGTGCGCCTGCCAAAAAAGGCCACATTCTCCAGCATTCAATTGGCAATTTCTCAGAAAATTCCCAGAAAATTGAGCAACTATAGTACTTAAACTGCAATCAAATGTTCAATGTAAGTATAAGCAAAAATGATTTATTGAGGCACTTAACACTTACGAGAAATCAATGCATTTTTAGAATAAAAGAAGAGGACTCGTTTATATGACCTAAAAGCATTTTAAAGCATATCTAAAAAATTATTAAAGATCATAAAAAATGTTTACAGGAAAATTTTAAAACTTAATTATTCTTGAAAACATTAAAATTATGATTTCCTTGCGTATATCTTTAAAAGCATTGAAACTTTGATGATTTGCAGCTCAATTATTGGATAGTTCCTATGATAGCTATATGATATCGTTTTCGTATTTAATAGAATTTAAAGCGTAATTCTGGACTGTTAAATTATTAGTAAGTCAAAAAGAAAAGTTTAAAAAAATATGTGAGTAAGGTCATACAGAATGTTGCAGAATACAATGCAGTGTTGCGAAAAGGGGGCACGCTTGCTTGGGTGTCTGAACTTGGCATTCGAAGCCGTTGGCTCTCTTGCCCACTTTCACATGCAACAAGTAAGAGTTGGCCGCGAATCGCGATGCCCAGTGTTCCATATATATGGAATGTATACTGTTGCCATTGATACGTTTTGTATACCCTGTTCTCTCAGATGGGTATATTGTATAGGCCGTTCACACAGATTACAATATATATGTATGTCCCGTTTCCACCGATACGTATTATATATCCCGTTCCCACAGATTCGTGTTTTGTATTTGATCCCCACGAAAACGATTTATGTAAAATATATATATTTTATACAGACCGCTGCGGCTGCGATTGCTGCTACTGCTGGCGCTGCTGCTCGACGGCTGGCGACGACCACTGCGTAGCGGAGCGGCGACGTTGGCGGTACCGCCGCTGCCGACGCCGACGCCGCTGCCGCCGCCGCTGCCGACATCGACGTATTCGGCCACGTCGCTGGAGTTTGGGCGGACTAGGATGCGGATGCGGATGCGGAGGCGGTAGCGGGGATGTTGCACGAGCAACAATGAAAAGTGTTCGCACACTCACACTCACACGCACACAGAGCACAGAACAACAAAAAAAAATATGTGTGAAGGATATGAAAAATATACACACAAGCACACACGCAGGCAGCCACACGCACACTCAGCCACTTATGCGCAATGGCGAGATTCGCGATAGTTGTTCGCTAAAATTCGCATAGTTTTTTTGCCGCGTTTTGCTGGATTCTTGTTTTTTTTTTTGCTGCCTAGCTTATATGACACGTATTCAGAGTTTCTTGGTAGGTTTCCGGATTTACTGGATTCGCCGGCTGCCTTTCTTTCGACTTTCGACTTTCTCTTTCTACTGCTGCTGCTGCTGCTACTGCTGCGGTGCATGTGGCACGTCTGCGTCCTAAACACCAACTGAATGGCATCCTGCGAGTGGAGGACGCCAAGTAAACCAGGCCGAGTGGACAGGTCCTTGCCAGCGAACAGCTGTTCTGGCGCCAAACAGCTGAGCGAAGCTTTCACCCCAACAACCACTGGGCTACGGGGTTAAAGCTTCGAAAGCTCGCACGGCAAAACTTTCTCTGCATCCGATTGGCAGGACCAAGGATATGCGGTCAAATTCAAATAAAGCCAGGGCTCACCTGTCTGGGTGCTGGAGTCGAAAAACGTACTGGTCGTCTCCACGGTCATGGTGCCGATGGTTCCATCGATAATCTGCGCCGAGGAGTCGCGTCTGCCACGATAACTGCGGATAAAGGTGTACTATATGTTAGGAACATTTGTCAGAGACATATATTTCAAACAAAACATATATCATTATGGGAATTATCGGGCTTCATCCTTGCGAATACCCAGACATTACCCGGATACTACACCCAGAGAAAAACAACATTGTAAAATTAAACAATATTTGAATGCAATATTGTTTTTTTTAAATGTAAACCTACTTAAAATAAACTAAAACAAGAAAGGAAGCAAACTTCGGAAAGCCGAAGTTCCTAAACCCTTGCAGCTATTGCCATGAGAGCTTTAATGTTATAGTCGTCCGTTTTTTGATGAAATTATAGACATAATAATTTTTTTATTTATTTTTCCGATTGTTCCTATGCTATAGTCGTCCTATCTGGCTCGTTCCGACTTATGTACTACCTGCAATAGAAAGACAACTTTTGGGAAAGTTTCATGCAGATATCTTTATTTTTACTTTACTTTTATTTCACGCATCCGATTTCAAAGTTGTATATCTTCAAAGTCTTGTTGCTTAATTTTCTAAAAATTTGCATTTAAATTCTGTTTTGAAAGTTTGGGTTGATATTTTTACGACATAACTCCTTAATTAAATTCCGAAAAAATCATTTTAAAAACGGTACCAAAAACCTTCAGTTTTAATTCCATAACTTTTCTCGCAAACATCCGATTTCAAAATGGCATATCTTAAATGTATTGGGGCTTCAGTCTCTAAAAATCTGCGTTTAAAAATTGGTTTGTAATTTCGGGTCGATTTTTTGTCATTTTTATGATGTAACCCCTTTCTAAATATCCGAATAAAATCGTCTTTGCAGAAAAGTATTTTTTCGATTGTTCCTATGGGAGCTATATGCTATATACTATAGTCGTCCGATCCGTCTCGTTCCGACTTATATACTTAAAACTCACCGACAGACGTCGTCGCTTTGGGAGCTCTGTCGCCGAAAGTTCCGGCAGCGGATCATCTCCTCGGTGGTGGACTGTCTCCGGAATCCTCTGGCGATGAGGATCTCCTCGGTGGTCGACTGCCTGCGGATGGCTGGCCGCTGATTCTGCTCCACGGTGGTCTGCGTTTGTGGCCTTGAACAGGGACTGGGATCGCGCGAGGAGCAGCAGCTGTTGGAGTCCGGCGACCTGGGCGAGCGGGCCGCCGAGCTGCTCTGCCGGCGCAGCGTGTGCCGCCGCGGACTGCCGTCCCGCTCGTGACTCCGGTCCGGCGATAGATGGGTCCTCGAGTCCCGGCGGCCGCCGCGCGAGGCGCTGTCCGGTGAGAGGGAATCGCGGCGCGAGGTGCGCCGCTCCCCACAATCGTCCGGCGGATCGGGGCTGAGGGCGGGCTGAGAGCCACGCCTGCTGCCGGTGCCGCCGCCGCCTCCGCCGGGCAGGCAGCCCTCGTCGAAGGCGGTGGCCTGGCGCTGCAGCCGCTGGAGGCGTGGCGCCCGCTCCGGACTAACGCCCGCCTTGGAGTCGCGGCGATTCACCCTGCCGCACTGCGTCTGCGAATCGCGGCGGCCCTTGGGCGCCGTCGGACTCGTCGCCGGCGGCGTCACCGAACTGGTGATGATCATCGGCGGCGGCAGGGCCTGGCAGGCGGTGTCCACCTGCTGGTGGGCCAGGTGGAGGTGGTGAGTGCTCGAGTGCTGCGAGATCAGGGGCTGGGAGTGATCGGAGCAGGAGCCGGCAGAGCTGGTGGAGGGGCGCTGCTCCTGCCGGAAGTTGGGGAACTCCGGGGCGGCCAGGGAGTCGCGCTTCTTGGCCATTTGGTACTTGCCCGGCGGCGGGGGCGTGGTCACCCGCCCGGCCACGTTGCTATCACGGCGACTGCCGGACAGGTAGCTCTCGCCGGATCCGCGACGGGATGCCTGGATGGCGTTGGTTCGTTGTGGGGTGTTTGGTTGATTGGTTAATGGGTTGATATAGTTTGGTTTTTGGCCGGGAAAGGAGTGAGAAAGAGAGCGAGAGAGAGAGAGAGAGAGAAAGAGAGAGAGGAAGAAGGGTTAAGGGTCAGGGGTCAAGGTGGTGGTAAGGGCGGAGTTACAGCTGCAGGCACCACCCACAAGGTCATCTGACAAGTGCACTTGCTTGAAGCATATTCACAAACTTTGTGGAGAAGTTTGTAAATATTTTTTAAAATAATTTTAAACTACTTTTAAAGTCTTTTTTATAGAATATTTATAGTAAATCCTTCCACAAAGCTAACAAATATTTTAATAGGAATTTTAAAATACTTTTAAAGTCAACTTTATAGAATATTTCACCTTCCACAAAACTTAAAAATATTTTTAAAATATTTTAAAACTTCCTTTCACAAATTTAAAATTTAAATTAAAGTTCAGACTTTCCCAGCAGTGCACTTGCCTCCGAACCGCATTTTATATGGAGATTTAGCTGTCAGATTTGTTCATCTTTGGACCTTTTGTGATTAGGGGATTTATATATATATAAAGCTATGAATTCCCCGATACTCACGCTTTTAGAGCACTCGACGACGACGGGCACGACGACACAGCTGCTGGACTGCTCCTCAACTGCCCCGCTTTCACGTCTGTTCCAGTGTCGAACGAACTCGGCGGTATTGGAGTCGCGGCGCGATCGCATGCTCCGGATGCCGGAATCCGCGGAGGATTCCCGCCGCTTGCGTGGCGCCATGTAGGTGGTGCAGGCGCCACCACTTGCCCCCGTGCTCGCATCCGCGGTGGTGGAGGTGCGCCATGGCAGACTCCTGGCCAGGTCCGCCAGCGTTTCCCGGCGATTCAGTTGCGCCTTGGAGCGGGACGTCTGCTGCAGCTGCTGCTGCTGCTGTTGCTGCTGCTGGTGGTGCTGCTGCTTGGTGCCGCCGCTCCACTCGCGCAGGATGTCCGTCAGCTGGGCCAGCGAGCTGCGCCGCCGACGCTGCAGGCCCGGCGGCGGCGAGGTGCTCGGCGGCGTCGTGATCTGCGCCGCCGAGTCCCGCCGCCCGCCCAGCCGCTGCCGGATGGTGGACTCCTCCAGCTGAAAGATTCACACATTTTATGTAGTACACCCAGAAAAACAATTGGTCGTTTAGTTTTATTAAGTGTGACTTGAAAACGAACTACAAGCTACAAAAAAGAACTCAAATAAATTTTACTTTCACTCAGTATTATTAAAGAATGTTTTTTTTTTTTAGGACTTGTTTATCTGATAAATATTGGGAAAAATAATTGTGTCTCAATATTGATATCTTAACACTTTTGAACTTAATTTCGCACTCTAATCCACACTTTTCCGCTGTAAACGTAAGCTAATCACTAATTTTTAATTTTTTTACCATTACCTATTAATTTGCAGATGTCACATATGTGTTTCATCAACTTCGGAAATGTTTTTAAATATGTATATAAATATATGAAGTTTTAAAAAGGTTTTGGAGACGCACCTGTTCGCGCACAAGATCGTCCCAGCCGTTGCCGCCCTGCCACACCAAACCCACCTGGTGCGACATGATGGGCAGGTTGCACACAAAGCAAATGGCTGTCATAGTCCTGCAACGATACGAAGTTCGAGTTAGTAAAATTATAAAAAAAAATCCACATGCATATTTCGATATCTATTAGTTTCGCATGCGACAAAAAAGAAGTGAGAAAAATAGGAAAAAGAAAATTTGGAAGAGTGGACATGGTCATGCGGAGGAGAATGGATGAATGGTAGATGTTATTTTTGGATCGACTGGGAGCTGGCTGGAAAAGCTCAACTCGAGGAAAGAGCTTCATGCGAAAGCCAATGGCTCAAAGTTTGCCAAAGGAAGGCTGAAAAGGATGAAAAAGCTGTAAAAGCTGTATTAGTTTCGAAAGCTATGTGGCATGCGGTGAAAAGTTTTAAGGACAGGAAAGCTCCGAGGTGAAGGTCCTGGCTGTTGAGTTTTTAAGTCATTTCTGTTCTGTTTTCTTTTTTCGTGCAATATATGTAATGGCATAGAGGAAAGCGTAGAAGTATAGGTGTTCGAGAGGAAAGCTTTTTTATTTTTTTTTTGGAAAGTGAAAGCGCATTCGCTGATTTTTGAGGTCAGGTGGCGTCCTTTTTTTATTTTTAAATGTGGTTTTTGGCTTGCTAACTTTTTGCGTATGACCACGGAGCTGCTGCTGCAGGGCTGATCCATGGACCGGTAATGCCGCAGTTTTGACATGGCGCATGTTCTGGTTTCTGTGGCAGTTTCGCCCGCCGATCCTCGAAAGTGAGCGGTATCCTTTTGTTCGGCAGCCGCTCCTACGGCCTCGTCCTTTTTTTTTTTGTTTTACGCCGACTTATATCCTCTCCCTCGCCGCCGTATTTTTTAGTTTTCTTTTTTTCACCAATTGTTTATATTTGAATTTCGGGGTTTTCGACTAAGCGATAGTGCGGTGATTAGGTTTCTTTAACATTTAATGGGTCGGGGGTTTTATTTTGTTTGTTTGGAGAGGGATACTGACTGATTGGTTTTGCTACACACACAGAGACACAGAGATACACTGGAAAAAATTGAAGAAAATAGTATTTGGTGGTTTTAAAACGTATTGGATGGGGCTCATATATCGCATGATGGGCAAATCTCAATTTACAAAAGGAATTGGGATTTACTAAATGGGTCAAACTACAGGTTAAGTAGGGACAGATGTAATATTTTATTAAATATATGTATTATAATTTGATATTTATTTGCTAAGCCTATTCGAACCAATATTGTAAATAAGATAAATAATTTAACAAAGAAAAATATGAAATAATTAATATATTGGCAATTATGGCAAGGTATTAAACAATCGTGTGGATACAAATTATGTTTGGCCGTGTGGGACTTTATGTAAAATAAATATTTTGTAATTTGCATATTACATTCCTTTACGAAATTTCATTTTTTTTGCAATCACTATTTGAAAAATTTCTTTTCAAATTTATTGAGCAACCTAAAACCAAGCTTTTGAAAAACAATGTTACATTCAAACATTTTAATGCTTAATTCTACTATGGGGTTTTTCTCTGGTGTATTTAAAGAGAAATCTCTGAATTTGAGTGCTAGTTTCTCTGCCTGATTATTGTTTCCTGTACTTGACTTTGGTTTTTGTTGACTTGGGAAAAGATGTGGTTGTTCTGGTTGTGGGCTACAGATGGCTGCACCTGAGCCAGATGGCAAATGGAAACAGTCGACACAGAATTCCAGATGAATTAATGCTCGAAGGCGGTTCCACAGAGGCAATCAAAATGGAGTATGAACTTGTTTGGCCGCAAGTTTATGGCCATTAACTTAATAACTGCCAGACGGCTGGACTTTCCGTCCACATGGGTGCTTCTATCTGGGTGTGTGTGTGTGTGTGTTACGTGTGTGCTAGGACATGGATACCCCAACGGAAGTTGCTGAGTGTGTGGCAGGTTCATAAAAGTCCGGACTCAAGTTTCCCGAGTGGGGAATCACCGCCAGTCAATGAAACACTTGGACAAGTAGTTCACAACCACCAAAGTTTCCCACTCTTTCCCACGGCGCTGTGTGGAAAATATACAAAATGCTCAGGGGAAAAAGCAATTCCGAACCCAATAAGTACACGCATTAAAATTGAAGAACTGCAATTTGTGCGTTTCAATGACAAGGCGATGGTGTGGACTTCTAATTAAGATCACTCTCTACCAAAATTTTTGTTTTACATACTTTTATAATTAGACCTTTATATGAAAGAATATAAGAGGTTTTAAGTTATTTAAAATTCAAAGGGATCACTAAATTTTGTTTTCATATTTAGGGCTTTTGGGTGCGGCTTAGTTTTAAATTAAAACTAGAACTTAATTTTATTTTGGTTTTGTTGTCCATTTCTGTATGTTTTGATGGAAAATATATTTTTACTGAAATAATTATTTATTAATTTCATTTAAATTTTAAAGGATTTTTTTGAAGGTAATATTTACTTTTTTTAATTTAAACATGGCTTATAGCTTTGAGTACTTTTTGCTGGTGGAATTCTTCAGCCATGTCTGATTTTCCAACTTGAGAAAAGTTTGGGGCAGCAGCAGAAACATCAGAGCTTAATCAATTTCAAGTGCACAACAGCAGCAGCTGGCAGCCTGCACTCTATCCTCCAGGAGTCAACTGGAGGATCTGCAGATGAGGATTGGGGATTGATGATGAACTTTGAAGGATGAAGGATGAACTTTGGAGGATGGGCACCTGGCAACAGGAGGTTCAAGTGGGCGACCGGTTGATTGACAGCTGTCAATTTGCGTTTGCCTGTGAAGTGTGTGCCACGAACAATTTTCAACTCAATTTTCCCACTTTTCTCCGTGTCCTTTGGTCCGGTTTGCGGCTAAGTCGGACCAGATGTCCTTGCAAACGGACCGAGAAGTCGAGGTCGGGGTCACGGGATCGCCGGCAATCAGAGGAAAGAGGCGGAAATATGGAGAACTGGAAATTGGGCGGCTGCATTCGTTTCCAATCCGTTTTCGTTTCCAATCAGCTAGTTGCCCAACATCGGAGTCAAAATAAAAATGTAAACAAAAACACATCCAAACCCAAAACCTAACTGACTTCCACTTTTGCACTTTTCACAGACAGTCCTCACCGAATGCAATTTTCTGCAAAGTTAGAAAACTTATGCATGTGAAAAACTGCTTAAGAAGTTACTTCGCACTGCGGGACTAATAAAAAGTTTTCCCAGGTTCCATATTTAATCCACAAAAGTAAATGTTGAGACCCTGTGCTTTTCATTTCGGTTGTAACAAGCATCTGCTTAGAGTTGTTAGTCATTTACAAGTGGGATTAGTTAAAAAAAAATTTTTCTTTTATTTTGTATTCAGTTAAATTGATACAGTTATATTTGATTAGAAAGTCTTTGTTATATGGTAAAGTCTTTTAAGTGTAAACAAAATATTTAAGCAATGGTATATAACTATTTAAATGTATATAAAATAGTTAGATATTGCTGTAAGTGTGAACCATTTAAATTGCACTTGTAAATTTAATTATTCTGTTATATATTTAAAATTCTTACTTCCTTTCCATGGGTATTGAATAATAACTTATTTTTAGATACTATCAGCTATTCATTAAAAACGTTGTATTTTAGCAACATTTTGGAGGAATTTTATTATTAATATAAATAAAATTACTATGAATATTACTAAAGAATAACTTAAAAGGAATATGTTTCATTACTCAATCTTGTCTCAGTTTCTGCCCAGGAATTTTATATACCCCTAAAACGCAGGGAAACTTCTGCGGGATTTGATGAACCTAATCCCCTGACTCCATTAATCTGTATTATATTTGAGAACTCATTTATCTCCCCACCTGCGGCAATTTCCCTGCTCTCTTCCCCGAGTTCCACTTTGTTCCACCGCTAAATGAAACAATTTAGTTAAATGGTGAACATTTTACGTTTGCCATGGCTTGCGGTTCTATTCAGTTTTTCCTTTTTATTTCTATTTTTCATTGCCCTTTTTTTTGTGAACTGTTGTCCTGGCAATCAAATGCAATTCGTAGGAATAAAAGTAAAAGGGCGAGCATTTTGGACGTTGGCACCTGGCGGACACTGGACTTCTTTCATTTGATTCCCTGCCTTCTAAGTGACTTTTCGTGTCCCGGTGGTGCGCAATGTGGAATGTGGTGGTTGGATTTTGGCTGGTTTTTTTTTTGGGGGAGGGGACATTGTGCTGCTGCCTTCTGCTATTTAGTTAATTTTAGAGCGTCTGTCGGACAGCCCCCTTGAAATATAGCTTGGGCTCTTTGCCAACAGTTTCCTTTTGATGTAATTGCGAGGGGGTCCTGTAAGTCCTGTAAGTCCTGTGTGTCCTGTTGGGTGGTTCAGTGGTTCAGTGGTTCACTGGTCCAGCAGCCAAGGACAGTTGGGTGCGGCTATTCATTGATTAACTGCCAGGACTCACTGGAGACAGGTGAAAAGTGGGGACGCTCTAGCTTGACGGCACTCAGGGCCATTTTCATTTAACATTTTCATTTTCAGTTTCGCTGTCGCTTAAGGTTTTTATTTTATATTTTCTTTTTTTTCGGCATTTTTTCGGCCGTTGTTGTTGTCATCTTGGGTTTCGTTTTTGGCATTCAAAGTTGGAATACCTGAAAATGCTTGGTAAATTAGATCAAAGGACAAGAAAGTATGTGTAGGCATTTTCCACCCTAGCCAGTATATATACATATATATATATATATATATATATTTAAACAGTGAATGCTTTAAAAGTACAACACTCTGTTGTGTGAACTTACTTAATTTTCAAATCGTATAACTTTTGTAAGATATTTAGTAATTTGTAGTTTCTCAAATATGTAAATAAAAAAAATGTAATCCAAACGATGTGAGTGCTGGAATAGGTATTAAAATAAACAACTGAATTGTCTAGGTAAGGCTAGTTTTGTTATTAATTAGAAAAGGCATTTTAAATACCAATTATACAATTGAGAGTTTTTATTTTTTTTTAAACCCAAAGTTTTTATGATGAAGCCTTCTTACCTAAAAAATTATGGATGAACATAGAAATTAATATACTTTTATTTTTGCAAGGTGTTATTTCTAAGTTGTATTGTCTTGTTTTTTTGTCCGTTTGGCTCGTGGCGTTAATTGTTTCGCTTTATGGAGAGTTCACTGTATAAATATATATATATATAAGAAGTAAGTACTTGGAAAGTCGGATTAAGTAATTTGCGCGTGCCACTTTCAATTTCTAGCAGGAAACGTTAGGAGAAAGTTGGAAAAATGCTTTCGCTCCGCCCTTGCCTTTTCCTGTTTTCCCAGTTTTCCCCGTTTTCCCCGTTTTCCACTTTTCCCCTTTCTGCCTCTTCCCTGTCTGTGCCTCCTCCTCTTTTTCCCCTTTTTACTGGCTTTTCCTCTTTTCTGGTTGCCTTTGTAAACGGCTTTTCGGCTTAGAAGCCCGGCCAGCCATTTGAATAAATAAATAATTAAAGCGAATTTTATAGGGGCTACTCGCACATATATCATTGGCGATATTGAACCGTCACTGACCTGACTAATACAAACGCTAGCACACTAGCACACTAGCACACTACCACACTAGAACACACACATACACGTACACATTAGCACCACCAACGCGTGCTGAGCATAATTTCCGCTGACAAAGTTGATAAAAAGTTGTAGCATACTTTTCAGGCGGCGACCACGGCGACCATTATGTAAATCGGGTGAAAAGGCGCTGGGAAAACACTTAAGCCGTTTTGTCCAACTGGCTAACACACACCAACACACACACTTACAGAGTGGCACACCAACGTGGCGCATTGTTGCTGGGAAATCTAATTTCCTTTGCAGGCGCCATGCTGCGCTTTCCTGGCGATGACAACCCCTTTTTTCCCGCCCCTCCCGATTTTTCCCGCCCACCACAACCGTCTATGCATGCATAATTCAAATGGACAGCTCAACCCTGGTCGTTGCGATCCAATGATGACGATGAGGATGATGATGATGATGATGGTGATGTTGGGCCATGCATATTTGATGGAATCATCTCGGGATGT